TGTTGTGTATTGAACTTCTCCTTTCTCCCTTACTCTGAAATACTTTCAGATACTCTTTAAATAATTCTTTGCCATTTCCCCTACCACACACAGATACACAAGTCTGCAGGCTGCAGACATTCCCTCTCTATTTACTGCCTCCTCCAATTTTTAGTATTAGCTGCCAAATTACTAGAGCTTGTGGTTGGAAAATTGCAGCTGAGTATTGAGTAGCTGAACTGTCCCAGGCTGGCATGTCAGCCACAAACTGTGGGCAGAGATCTCTTTTCTCATTTGATAAAGAATAGGGCATAGAAAGAGCTGTACACAGGCAGCATCGTTTCCACAGCAAGGCCAGACACGCAGGAGACTGCAGTGTTACCACTGCAAATACAAGTTAGTGCCTTCTACAAAAAGGTCAAAGCATTAACTCCAGACTCATAGGTGACCTCAGACCAACTAAAATAGTGTAATTCACTGAACATAGTAGTCTAATTCACCGACCTACTGATGCCATTCTACCAAACACACTTGCCATTTCCTTTGTATCATTCTGAAACCAGTAACTTCACTTCAGGCACTTTGAATCATTATCTGCTGTTGAGAGATTTGCAAGAGGCAAAATCTTATTGTCCTGGAAAGTGAGAAACTAGATAGCTCCTTCATTTACAGTGAGCAGCAGCCCAGCTGGCCTGACCTTACACTGAGATGCAGTTCTGGGATCAGGCACCCACTTCTCTTGGTGTGGAGCCATTGTCGTGACTCAGATTACAGCATGTTTTTCTGAAGCTATGTCACTCTCCTATCATTAAAAAACCCAGAAAATAAAGGCATGGGCACAAGGGATTAGATCAGCCATCCATTTTGTCCAACACCTGATGTCTGAGTCCATGGGACAACACTCCAGTAAAAAGCCTAAGAAAAAGGGACTACATCAAGCCACATGCTGCCCTCAACATCCATTTAGGATGTAACTTAAAGAGTTATGTACTTTAAGTATATAAAATATACTTTTAAAAATCTTTTGCCCACTATGGAGCCATTTGCAGAAAAATGTAACCGGAAATAACATGAAATAGCACTTACCTTTATTTATTTTAAACCCAGAGCACAATATTTGCATTTAATATCTCCAAATCTTGTCAAACCACATCACTCAGTACATTATACAGGCTTGTAAACACCCTCAGCTTGCTCTGCTTCACAGAGTAAAACTAAGGCACAACTAAGTCCACCATACACCTCAAAATATCAGATCAGTCTTCTCCACAAACACGATCTTATCTCTATCAGAAGTGAATTTGGGCTGCCATTTTCTTGCCCCACCACTTACCACTGTGAGATCCCTCTGACATTGCTCACAGTCAGCTTTCAGTCTTACCACCTGGAAAAATGTGTTAGTGCTTCATTATTCATCCTCCATTCCAGGTAGTTTATGAGCACTTGGAACACCAGAGATCCCAGCACACTTTCTTCCATAAGACTCCAGGAGTAACATCCCTGTACTGTCCAATCTTCTTATCTTTTCCATACAGTTTTCACTATTTACCTAGTCACTATCTAATCAGTACAGCATTACACCAGTTTAACTTGCCAAAAAATCTTTCAAACAGCAAATATTTGGTTGGTTTTGGGGTTTTGGGCATGGGTTTGTTTGCTTGGGGTTTTTTATACATGTATTATGGGTTTTTTAAAGAAATCCAGATGTATTGTATTAGTTAAATCACCTTTATCAAATGCTGATCCAGTCATTGAAACACAAGCAGATTTACAGGGCAGAAGCTCCTGCTGCAAAAGCCAACTTGTCTCCTCTCTATCTGTGAACAAACACTAATGCTGTTCTTTAATTTTAGGTTCTAAGAGGAGCCTAATACAGAAACCAGGCTTGTTCTTAGCTTCCACTTTCCCAAAGAACCCCCCAGACCCTTCTTGAAAAGCCCAGCACGTTTACTGATTTCATTCCTCCATTCTGAAACCAATTCAAGCAGTGATTACACACAACTGCGTGTAACTCGGCAACATCAACACCGAGCTCCTCACAAAGTGAGAACTTTTCCTAGCAATTCTTTGTGTTGGAATTCACTCCAAAACGTCAAGCTTCTGTCACATTCCCCCAGCCTGTCCCCTGGAAATGAAGGGTCCACAAGGGAACTGTTCTGCAGTGAATAGCAATGCAAATAACTTCTCTGCACCAGCTTTACCTTCCCTCAGCTCACATGTAATATTAGGAACCTCTATCAGCTCATCGGGATCTCTGACAGGCTCTCTGCCTTTGACAGCCAGACAAAAAGCTTTATTATTTTTTTAAAGTCTCTACAAAGTTGTTCCTCAACATTTTTTTTGCTCTACCTCATTATGGTTTATATTAACTTGCCAAAGTTAATGCTCTTTCCTATTCTCCTCATTTGGATACAACTTCTGCTTCAGAAAGATGACTTATTTCTAGGAGTCTTGTTTATTTTACTGTTTAAGCAAGTCGTTGTTCATTTTTGTGGCTTTTCTTCCATCTCTTATTTCCTCTCCCTTCTCACACTTTACCATTGAAACTGGACACAGTGGTCTAGAAATCTTGGATTGTGAGGTTTTGTATTTTAATTTTAAGTCAGTGTTTCGCACAAAATTCTCAACTTTTCTGCGCTCATATGAAATAGTGCTTAAGAAATGGTATTTTGTTAAGATGACATGAAGATTTCTCTGCCTGTTTCCAAGATAGAGGATTTTTTTTCTATCTTGAAGGTAAAATCTGTATTTGGTCCTCCCAGATGTTTTATTTCATGTTGGATATATTAACATATATTTTGTTGGACTGTGACCATTTAAATCAAGCAGTCCAGATTGTTCTTTAGAAATAACTGACCCTTTATTTAGTACTCACAACCTAGGATTTTTTCCAGATATTGATTATTGATGAAAGGATAAAGCATTGCTAGAATGAGAACTGATCAACTGAGGACCTCATTAAAGCAAACAAACAAATGCTTAGTCTTTCTTTACCATCAGCCACATTTTGGTATTTCTCAGGCCATTGCTCTTTAATTCATCAAGCACTTGCTTATGCTTGCTAAAGTCTGAATTCTCATTTTTACCAGTAAAAAAGCATCAAGAACAGCTACATCCTCTGAGAAACATTTATTCTATTTCAACTATTTCCACCATATTTTGCCTATTCACATTTAAAATTGCACTAAAAAGTCAGGAACCTTAAAATGGGAAAACATTTATTCATTTCATTCATGCTTGAAAACAGCCAAACCAACTTTATCCAAATATTAAAAACACCCAACAAAAACACACATTTTACCACAAAGACCGCGCCTAAAAAACGTCAGTTGGAGAGATGATGGTTTCCTAATGACACAATCAACTGAAAACAGAAGCTAGAATAAAACAAATCATGCAGCTCCAATCTTTAAATGAACAGGCATGACAATTTGGCTTTAAGAGTTCTAAATATATTGAATACCTGGCTTGGTAATATTAACTTTCATCGTTCTCTGAGTACAAGGAAAGTTGCAGAGGAGAAGGAATTTTAAGTGCAGCTTGATTTTTCTTTCTAGAACTACTGGTCAGTCATCCTTACAGCAGAACTGGGTAAAATAATTAAATGTCCAACACTGAATTTAATTTGTAAAGAAATCAAAGACATCACAGGAAAAAAAGGCAACATTAGTCAAGTTTTAAGGTCCATGCTAAACAAGCACCTGAAGATAAATACCTGGTGAGTTGCTGTCTTTAAAACTGTCAATACAATTTTTCAATGTATGAACATTTCCTTCGACTAGAGACACATTTGTACCTTTTTGCAAGGAATTAGTTCAATGCAGTCATCTACTTGGAGGTGACTGAACAGAGATCTGCTAGCAGCTGCTGAGGGAGAGAATAAATATCACTTCAGATTTTTGGAGGCTAAAAAGCTCCTTCTCAAAGCCAAAGTATTTTAAAAATTAAAATAAGATTAATAGTTTTGTAATAATGAGTTCATTCTACTCTCTACTATTTACATTTAGCATGTACACAAACACAGATTTAAAAGCACTCACTTTCAGTTCTAGTATTTATACTCTACCCAGAGTTCCAAAATTCTCACAGAAGATAATACTGATAATTGTTTGGTTTACACTGGTGATGGAGAACTTCAGTGTTTTGTTTTGTTTTTAAGGCATGTCTCTAGTATCTACTGGTTACAAGGCAATGTCAGATGTATTTTTTAATTTTAAAAAAGCTTCCAGTCACCGTGCTTGTCAACAAAAACAAAGACAGAAGATACCACCAGTTTCAGGCTTGGATGGAAGGCCATGATCACTCAACCTAACCTTTAGATGCACAGGTCATGGAAATTCCCTCCTCAAAAGAAATAAAATATCTCCTTTGGAAAAGTGCCAGTTATGTTAAGAAGTCCACAATCTCTTTTGCCAAAGAGATCATTGCACTAAAGCATCTCTTCCACGTGAACAAGAAGCTTGTACAATGGTCAAACTGTTTGGTCAAATTTTCCATTCAATGCACCAAACTGAAATGCTTAAGCCTCAACAGATTATTGTTCCTGCCAATCTATCTTCTGAACTGTCTCCCAGCAATTCTACAATCTCCAGGTACCTGAGGGATGCTTTACCCTGTTCTCCCAAGAACAAAAAGCCCAAAATCAACCACAACAAAGCATCACACTTTATTATCTACTCCAGATAACTTAATCATGACCAAAGCTCCCCAAGCATTGCATCACCTGGTACTAGCAGTGAGCCTGACCACACGTTTGTATCATGCACTGACAACATAATTTGTTTCATTACTCAACACCCAGGAGTCTCTACTCTTTGAGCAAAGTCCTGGTCAGACTGAAGCCAACTAAGCCATTGCCACTGACCACTCAAATTGTCCAGAATTTCAGCACTGGTCTCTCCATGAACCAATCAAGAGACAGAGCAATGACACTTTTCAAGACAAACTCTGCCTATCACCCACCTTGGAGGATGAGAAGTCGTCGGGGGAAGTGGGGAAAAACTCCCACAGTGATTACTTACTTTGGGAAGATGACAGTCATGAGCGCTGATGCATAGCCTGGCTTGCACATTCCCTCAGAGAAATTGGCATACTTTGATGCTAGTTCTGGAGGCCTGTGAAAAAACAAGCACAGAATCAGGACTCTCCTGGCTATGAACTAGTTTTTGCAATCATCCAAGTAATTTTTCTCCTCACAGCTTTGCAGAAAAGAGCCACAGGGAGTAACTGCAAACACAGACCATTATTTATTTGTTGCACTATGGCATCACAGAAGAACAACAAAAAAGCAGAGAGGTAAAGATATCTGAAATACCACTAAATCACTAGTTTTGCTGAAAGATTTTCATAGCTAGCAAGGTAAAGCTCATGGAAGAAAAATATCAATAATCATTTTAGACTTACACCTTTCAAAAGGAAAAAAGACATAAACAGCACTATGCTTTGGCCATTTTTCTAAGTTATGATCGAAGTTAAAATTATAGAAAAGTATTATTTAGAAGATTACTTGAATATAGTTTCAGGAATTTGAAACAAAGCTTCAAGCAGTATTGGCAGGGTATCATCAAGGGATGAGTGATTTCAGGATTTGGAACAGATGACATTGCTGTTTCTTTGTTGAGGTGTGTCTTAATTCAGTTTGGCTATTGACTCTTTGGCCAAATTTAGAATATATGGGTGTTTCTTCATTCAGTTTCTGTACAGAAACAAGAGTAGCAACTCAATTAAATATATTTCAGTCCAGCACATGCATTTACCATAGGTCTACTGAGTTACGTGAAAAAAACCTTTAATTTTGTGTCCCCTGTTCATCACCTGCAAAATTTTTACGTTCATCCATTTCATTAAAGCATTACAAGGGTCATTAATTCACTTGTGCTTTCAAAGTAACATTAGATATCTTAGTGTCTGTCACAATATGAGGATTGTTAATTTTCCTTCAAAGAACAACCAAGAAAGCATTTACAGTTCCATGCTCAACATTCAGTGGAAGCTGCAAAGACTCATCAATAACACTGTTCTTGCTGTATCATTATCAGCAACAGGCAAGTAATGAAAGGTTTCTTCCTCCAGTTCAACAGTAACACTCAAATGAAGATGACAGTGCAGCCCCACAGAGTAGAACCACAAAATCAGTTCTGAAGAGTCTGTTATTATCCCAATCATGTTCTTTCCCAGGCATCACCATTATCACTTAACCAGCAAACTACTACTACCTGCAATGAATCTGGATTCAGACTTTCAAAATTACATATAGGCAGAACAATAACTCCATGCTGAACTGGTAGTATCTATTTCTCTTATACTGGTCTTGCATTACCTCTCAAGAGGCCAGCAGCCAGTTCCAAATGGATGGACAATAGAAGGACAATTAATTTTACAACTAGCTGCATGGAGTATAAAACCTACTCCTAAACTGTAGGGGAATGGTCTCTCTGTATAGAGACCCCCTGCAATTCTGCATATATACATACATACAGAACCTCTGTGGCTCTTAAAGAATAAACTCTATTTCTGCTGAATAAAAATCTAAACCTTCAGCAGCTGGAAGAGAAAAGAAACTAGAGAAGATCAATAATCATTGTAAGTATTTAATTTTGTAAGATCTTTTAAGTTAAAAAGCACCATAAAAGGCTTAAGAACACAGATCCTATTTAATTCTGCCACAGATATCCTGCATGGTTATGGTCCAAATATGCAGTATTTTATTATGAAAATTCCTCATCTGTAGGATGGAAGAAGAATACATTTGGCCACTTACACTGCCAATCATTTACAATCAAGTATAGATATCCCTAAATGTAGGATATAGACATGGAGAGAAAGGGAGAGGTGCAATATTATCTAGCACAACCCAAATCCATGAGTTTGGTTTCCATAGGTGAGGATGTGATACCATAATACATTTCTTAAATGTATTATGTACAAATGTATAAAATGTACATAAATGTATAAAACATCTGAGAAATGAGTATCCAAAATTATTTGCATTCTTATGCCAGTCAGGATCTCTTTATAAATAGGTACATGAAGGACTGACAAAACAAAAGGCTTTAATGATGCTAAGGTATATTGTATCCCCTTCTGACACAGACAAAAGGGACAGCAGGATGTATTGATCACAGCTTGTTGAAGCATTTCAGATATGAAGAAATGGGGGAAATTTTAACTTTTTTCAACCGAATCTAAGCTTGCTAGAATTTTCATCTTTAGGCAAAGTACAGAATCCCCTATTACCAAAACCTCCAAAAGCAAGTAGAAAGCAACTGGAATTTATCTGCAGCCACCACAGCAGTGAGTCATTGCTGGCAAACTTGTATAACTATTTCAACAGCAGGACTGTCTCAAATGACCTCAGTGGTCACACAAAATATCTTGAGCCACAAACACAGGCATTTTTCTCTTTTCTGATTTAATGATGCTTTCATTATCAAATTAAAACATCACTCAGATGCCCATCATGGTGTTTCTGCACAAGAATAGCAGGCTGGGACCCTCCTGCATGTGAGCCCCCCGCCTGCCAATCGCTGCATACTGATGGAGGGGAGCTGTCAGTACAAACCCACAAAGACTCCCAGAGCTGCTAAAGCCCCCAGGCCGAGCTGTTAACATTTCTTGGATGTGATGAAGTTCATGATCCAAAGTGCCAGAGGCAGAACAGTTCTCTAAGCCAACCATAGCTGCCATCTCATATCATTCAACATTTGCTCATCTCCTTTCTTGGTGCCACATTTTGAGTCACCAAGCTACAGAAAACTAGAAAGGGGCACTCTACATTTTAAATCCATTTAGGGACATGTTTTATTTGTTCAATCTCTTTGAAATAGGCACTGCATACTGTCACTGCCAACATGCTTGTAATGATAAGCTCCTAGTAGGTGTAACCCAGAGCAAATTTAGAGTAGGGCTGGGTGCAGCCTTGCTGTTTACCAGATGAAGCTATCCAAGTTGACTTCATTTTAGATACACACATTTGCTTTGTGGGTATTTTTCCCTGCAAGATCCACAAATCTTGCAGAGATCAGTGTTCCACAAATCAGGGTGTAAAACATCCTGCATGAAGCATCCCATAGAGTACTACACATCTTTCAAACAAATCCAACTTTGAAAACTACACTGTGTTTGTAGCTATGTGGTTCTGTAATAAAAGGACTGCACAGAACTCAAGTCTACAAATGAACATCTCCTCTGTATTTGATGACAATGTATCTACTACACTGCTGCATATATTGGTGCCTCTTTGACAATGCTTTTATTTCCAAACGGGAAAACTAAAAACTTTTACTTTCTTAGTGCTTTAGAAGCTAGTAAATAGCTTCATCTCACTAGCCCCATTACTGAGCCTGGACTCCAAGGCCACCCTGAGAAGCCAGCCAGCCAGAACCATAGTGACACTTATGACAGAAGGGTGCAAATCTCCCCTACATCTTCCAGGTCCAGATACATTATTCCAGCTCTCAATGCTCATGTTCACTCTGGGCTGAGGTAGCTAAAGAGCTAGTAGAGACATCTACTAGAGAAATCTACATCATCTAGTAGAGACATCTACTAGAGAAATAATGTAATTAGATGACACTGTGGACCCTTTAAATTTTGCTCAGATTTTGTGCAGGAAAAACCCAGTAAAGTAAAAAATTTCTCCAGAATAAATGAGAAAAACAAGTCACAGGCAGTAACTGTAAACATCTGCTGTTTTTAAACAAGTGCCTGCATGAGGGTGAAGTTAAAGGGAAGTAATTGGCTTATTCCACTGAAGAGAAAATGCACTCTTGCTTTTTTTTCTGACTTTTCTCTTATGAGACCAGCACACATCCTGAATTCTTATGATATTCTGTGCTTCTCTACACTGTTATGTGGACATCAATCTCAACAAAATTTCACAATTTGGATAAGTTAAAAATCCAGCTGCTTTCAGAGGATTTAGAAAAAGTAACAAGATTTTCCTTCTGCTTGCGTTTGGCAGATGTGTGTCTCCTTTTAATCTCAAATATGAAAACGTCACCATGGTTAATTCCTTCATCGTGTCCTGATCAGGGACAGCATGTCATCCTCACAGACTGGAATCTAAATCCTTTAAAAAAAAGAAATTAGTAATACAACTCAGTGTTTAGATTACTAAAAAAATGGCCACAACTAGGCTCATGTAATTGAATATTACAAAATCTGCTTGAAGAGACATATTTTGATGCTTTGCCTTTCACATGGAATTTAAACTGCAGCTTGTAAAAATCAAAAAACTTCATCCACTTGAGATCATCTTATTTGAGGACTGATGTCTCTTCCTGTTACTCTTGCACACAAAATATATGAACTGATACATTTCTCAAACAAGGAAAAGGAGTCCTTGGCAATGTGCTCTCTGGGCTGATCCTTCTCCTTGGGGTCTCTTTCTCTTTGGTTCAAAATAACCTGGGTCTTATGCCTACACAGTAGCTCTACAAAGCTTTTGTCACGATACATGAAGAATGAATAGGAGATGGAATGAGAACATGAAATGAAGGCATGTAAAACATAGTGAGGTATTATGGAACAACAATGAAATATTAGTATATAATTTGGCACATCACTAAATCAAAGCAGTTCATGAGACTGAGATCCCATAGCTATACCCTGTAAGATTCAGAGCATTTAAATTTAGGTAGGACTCCCTGGTTCAGACGTATCCACCATATCCAGTCACGGCTCAGTGTTGGCCAAAGGACAAGTTTGTACACTCCTGGAATAAAACTTGCAGTTCAGTTTCCCTCAGTTACTGCCACTCAGCCTGAGGAAGAGAAGTCATTTACATTCACCTCCAGGGTAGTCAATCCCATACACGAGGGCAATGAAAAATGCATCTCCACCTCTGCCTTCTTAAGTAGAGGTGTGAGCATCATGTCACTCTGTGGAACCTCTTTGAGTGAAGACACCACCACAAAACCCTCCCCTGGGTACATGGCTGGAGATCCACATTCACCTGTATGGCTTGGGAAACATTGAACCTGAATTTTAAGAAGCTCCAATTACAGTTCTTACAAGTTTGCAAACTTGGGTTCAAAGCATTACACAGCCTGATCATTTGATATTTGCTATTTTCCAGCTGAGGAAAAAGTAAACAAATGAAAGGAATGAATAG